CAGATATTTTACACCCCGAATCATTGTACACTTCTCATTTTCCCTCATCATCGGTAACCACACTTTGAGAACCACTAGATCTCAAACACATACAGCATCAGGGTTGGAATGTTTTCGAAAATTAGACTATTGACCCAGTGTCTCGATTCGGAAAGAATCTAGATGCTTCTGCTGGTGGAGCTTTTGAAAATGCAGCTGACAGCATCCAAAGCATAATAAAAACACCAGCGTCCACACATTTCTGAGTTCTGGTGCAAACAAAAGAAAACACTTCCAAACGAATTTTCCTCAACATACCAGCAACTGCACATTCCAGAGGTACCTACTCACCTTTGGGAATTTGGGGGACGGTTTATCAGATGACCGTCCTCAAAGCAGGAGAATGTGCGTGCAGAGGCATCTGTATAATCCCTATTTTAAGGGCAAATATTGGCTAGCCTCTGTTATCACCACAAGCAGCTTTAAAGGCTTGGCTGATGGGAGCCGAGAGTGGTTGTTTGGGCACCATCCTAAGAGGGAGATGTGGAAAGAAAGGCAGGCACCTTGCAGGATGGGGTCAAGACTCAGCACTTAACTCTTGACTAGTAGAGACAGATTCCAGTCCTGTTGTTTCCTGGTAACTTCCGTTAACTAGCTGCATGACCCACTGGTTGATCTGGCCTCAGGCTGGCCATCTATAAGGAGAGACTCTAGTTTCTGAGCTGCGATTGGCAGAGCCCACAGGCCCATGGAGCTGCTGAGGGGCCTCTGAGGGAAGAGGGCTGCTGGATGGACCCCACTGTGGTCATGCTGTTCCAGAAACACGTCTCTGCATTGCCGCTATGCAATGACATCCTGGGATATTTTGTGGGAAGGATGACACATGTGACTTAACAAACGCTTGAGGACCAATGATCTCGGGGTCCTCTCTATTTCTAAAAGTGTGAGTGTTCGGTCCCTTTATAAGTAATGACACAAAGTGTCCTTGAAACCGTATTCCCAGTTCTTGAGCTCTGGTGACTGTGGGTCAATCATGGATGAGTTTTTGGTAAAAATGAAGATGTGTGAGAATTCTCTGTCCTGCTTCCTCCTCAGCAGTCTTAAGAGGGGGGTATGGTGAGAGGCTGGTGATGAGATTAGTGGGTAGGGAGGGTAGAAAGATATCCAGAAGGACCAGTTCAAGGTCTTCCACCAACTCTGTCCCGGATTGAGCCCTGCCCAATCACTTCCACAGCAAACCCCTGCTCCTGAAGGGGGTACAGCTGCATCCCCAAACACTTTGATCGTCCTTCCCATCATTGTGGTCCTATTAGGACGATCAGTCAAGATGGTGGTCTTGTGACCCATGATGGCCATCACAGCCCTCTCCCAGAACTGGAGAGACACAGAGATGAATTCATTGGCAGCTGGGTCATCCTGAGGGCAGAGCCATTACCTCCTGCTGTTTAGGTTCCGGGACTGTCCTGCTTTCTGTCTTTCTTGAGCCCCGGCTGCCTTCCCTTTGGTGTCTGTAAGTTATCCTGGCTCTGTCTAGTTCCTCAGCCCTTTCCCATTGCTGGACAGTCACCCAGGCTTTCTTTGCCCCACGCTTTCTCTCTCAGAGGGGCTTCGCTAGGCTCAGGTGATAATTCTGGGTAGTTCAGAGAGCCAGTCACCAGGGCCTCCAAGGGACCTGCCCACTTGCCCTGGGGAATTAACACGTTGATTGTATAAGGGCATATTCATTACTGTCCCTGGGACACAGGATTTGAGGGCCCATCGTTAAGTCAAGAGGACAGAGCTCATCAAAAGTCAGTGAACGATCAGATCAATTCATTAATCAAAAGAATGAGCCCAGAAACTGAACACCCATAGTTAGATTGCACATGAATTTAGTTCAGACCGTTCAGAGTTCAGAGCCCTGTACCTGGGAACATGCATTCTTGTCTTGTAATTTGGTTCATTTTTTTACTTCTGATTAGGAAAAAAAAGACTTCAGACCCTGTTTCGGTCTCCCAAAGGGTGCGATTTTCCCCTATGCTGTTGTGTCTGCCAGTGGGCAGCGGAGGACGGCTCCAGGGCCAAAGAGTGAGAGGAGCCTTGGGGAAAGCAGAGGAGTCTAGGGGCAGTGGGCAGGGGGCCAGCTCTAGGCTGGGGTCCTTCCCTCCTTCTGTCTGAGGGTTCCCTGCCTGCTTGCTCAGTGTTGGCCTCCCTGGTACCCATAGAGGGACTTCAGATTATTCCAAGGGAAGGATTTAGTAACTGGAAATTAGAGGAAAGACACTGGGGACATTCTCCCCCCCAGGCAGAAACCTGGAGGAGATACCGAGGAAGAATGAGATTCTCCTTTGTGCCTAAAATTAATCCTGTAGAGCTGCGTTGTCCAGCTGAGGAACCACCAGCCACGTATGCTCGGGAGTGATTGAAACACAGGGAGTTCAAATCACAATGTGTTGTAAGTGTAAAATATAAGTCAGGTTTCAAAGACCTTGCCTGAAAAAAAAAAAGGATGCAAAATATCTCATTAATAACTTTTAAATATTGATTACAGTGGTGCCTGGGTGGCTTAGTTGGTTAAGTGTCCGACTCGTGATTTTGGCTCAGGTCATGATCTCACAGTTCATGGGATCGAGCCCCACATTGGAGTCTGTGCTCACAGCGTGGAGTCTGCTTGGGATTCCCTCTCTCCCTCTGCCCCTCCTCTGCTCATGCATACATGCTTTCTCTCTCTCTCAAAATAAATAAACTTAAAAAAAAAAGTGTTTACATGATGAAAAGACAATATGTGGGGTATATTGGGTGTAATAAAATATATTACTAAAATTACTTTCACCCATTTCTTTTTATTTTCCATGTAGCTGCCAGAAATTTTTAAAATTATGTCCGAGACTTGGACAGTGCTGTATTAGGATAGCTTATTTCATTTTTACTTGCATAAACCGTATGCAAACAGGAATGCTTTAAGATGCATTTCTGATGTTTACCAACTGACCCAGTTGATTTTGTAGAACTCTGAAGTTCTTTTAAGAGAAACTCAGAGTTATTTTTGGTAGATAAAATACCCTCAGAAGTTCGAGTTGGGTGGGGATTAACTGCTTCCCTACAATTTTCCTCAAGTTTCGGACCAAATTCACACAGGCACATATTTATTTTTTTTCCTTCTTCTTTTTTTAATGTTTATTTCATTTTTGAGAGAGAGAGAGTAAGCGTGAGCAGGAGAGGGGCAGAGAGAGGGAGACCCAGAATCTGAAACGGGCTCCAGGCTTCGAACTGTCAGCACAGACCCAACGTGGGGCTTGAACTCACGAAGCCGCGAGATCATGACCTGAGCCGAAGTCAGAGGCTTAACCGACTGAGCCACCCAGGCGCCCCGGGCACGTATTTCTTAATTAAACATTTTCATACAGCCTGTTTTCTAGTCTCACGAAGTCCCAGCTCTCCCACGTGGCAGTTGCTGACACAGCACTTTGCGTGAAAAGCTCATTCAAAGCAGGTGATCCTTTGGAGTCAGAAGCCTGATATCTTTATTGTTAGCCTCCAACAATCAAAATCTTGCTACGCCAGTCATCTTTTATAGGAGTGATGAAGGAATCAAGTGCGTTTCTGAGGAGTGCAGGCCAAAGGCCTCCCTGGAATCTAAACCCTATTTGTGCAAAAGTGGGATTTGTCTCAAAATACCTGGGCCCTTGCACATGCTGACTGTTGTAACTCTGTTCACACGAGGGTGGACAGTGTCTTATATATGTTAGCCAACCACCTATCTGCCTTTGTTAATGAAAGTCAGTTGCTACCATTCATGCTTTTTAACAAGTCATTAATAAGTCAGTAAAAATTCCCTCGGCAAGGCCTCAGGTATTGGCAGTTGACATTGCAGGGGGGTCTCAGGAGAGTGACAGTCTTGAGGAACCCAAGCAATGCTCACCTATAATAGCGTGCTGGACCCAAGGGACACTCACCTGTAATATTACACTGGACTGCGGTAGCATTAAGGCAGTTCCAGCCATCCCAGCACTGTCCTATTAAGAGCACAGTAATCCGGGGCGCCTGGGTGGCTCAGTCGGTTGAGCCTCTGATTTTGGCTCAGGTCATGATATCACAGCTCGTGAGTTTGAGCCCTGCGTTGGGCTCTGTGCTGATAGCTCAGAGCCTGGAGCCTGCTTTGGATTCTGTGTCTCCTTCTCTCTCTGCCCCTAACCCACTCGCATTCTGTCTGTCTCTCTCAAAAATAAATAGACATTAAAAAAAAAAAAGAGTATAGTAATCCAACCTATTTGGTTCATCCAAACAAGATCAATGAGATAAAAGTCGGTGAACTATCACAATGTTTGATGAAGACACTCAGCCTTGTGTCATACATGTCACTTCCCACTTTAAAGGAATAAACAGCATTCACCACAGCAATCATTCTAAAAAATATGCATATTGTATTAAAGAAACATCGTGTCAGAGTAAGTGTCAGCAGTACTTGGGAGAAAACTATTAAAATGAAGGTTTCATCGTTAACGGAAAATTCTTTCTCAGTCTTAGAAACTCAACTTACTGATGCTGAGATATAGAACAGATATAGCTGTAACTTAAATTTTAAGGCTGCTGGTATGTAAATATATGCTAATTTTCTCCCTGATCTTTTAGGGAAAATCTTCGCAACCCTGACACTATTGACATTTTGGGCTGGAGAATTCTTTGTCGTGTGGGGCGTGTATTGTAAGATATTGCGCAGCACTCCTGGCCTCTACCTACTAGATGCCCGTAATCACACCCCACTGCCCAAGTGGTCACAATTGAAAATGTTTCCAGATATTACTAAATGTCCCTTTGGGGGTAAGAAACTGAATCTCTGTTGAGACCTGCCGTTCTTGACCAGAATCAATGGGCTCACCCAATGCCTTATTGGAAATGTGGAATCTTAGACACTCTTCCAGACCTACAGAACAGGAATCTGTGTTTTAATAAGACCCCAGGAGGTCCATGTGCTCATATGCCCAGCCGATTTCACACCCACGTATCCCTGCCTCCACGTGTGTCTCCCTTTCTCATTGCAGGAAGCTGATGAAGCCTTACTGCATAACCTGCGCCTTCAGATCGAAGCCCAGTTTCTGCAGGATGATATCAGTGCAGCAAAGGACAGGTACAAAAAGGTAACTGTGACCCTTCCGAAGCCCGTCCCTCAGATAACCTGGTTTGGGTTTGGCCAGACAAGTCCAGGGCACTCGTGGCTGAAACATGAGCCTGCTATCGTGGGTTACTTTTGTGTGGATTGCTCCTGAACCAAGGTGGCAATGGGTTGGTTGCTGGATGGCACTCAGGGAGCCAGACATATGTAGAGGAGGAGGCAGTAATGTGTGTGTTGAGGGGAGGGAACTGATGTCCGTTTCGTACGTTACAAAGTGATTGTACATAGATCCGTCTCAGTAAGCTAGGACCTGTCCGTTGTTTCGGCTCAAAAAACGCAGAAATACAGAAAATGCGATGTACCTATTTATTAGCCCTGCCTCTAAGCCAGTTAGTTGAGGGAACACACGGCATTCAGGAGCTTCCTCTCAGGAAGCATTCCTCTCTGCCTCCCGCCTCTGCTAGCTGCTCACAGGCCTGACTTTGGGGGGCTTTAGCGTACTGGAAAGATCAAATCCTGGAGCTGCGTAACCATGGGCGAGTGCCGTCCCCACTCTGTGCTGCTTCATCTTCAAAATGCGGATGCCAGACTCTCCTTCTGCACAGCTGTGTGGTTAACTGAGTGTAGTAGACCTGTGAGCCTGGCTGTGGTCCTGGGGGCTGACCTCTCCAGTGGGCTGTGGCCTCCCTCCACCTGCCAATATCTGCCGCTGGGCCTCCGGACGCTCGCCAGGCAGTGGAGGGTGGCTGTGCCTCATGGTAGGTGTTGGGGAACTAATGCCCCGGGAGCAGCTTCAGCCAGTGACGGATGCATATTGTTGGATTCTTACCCTAGCTCCCTCTTACCTGCTGTTCTGCGCGACTCCCAGGATCCCCGGCTGGCCTGAGCGCCAGGCGCCCATAGGGGTAACTTACCTGGTAACATTCTTATTGGCTGCCTTGCCTTTCCTGTCTCACTTCTCCCTCCAATAATGTTTCCTGGCATCTTCACCCAAATGAACTGTTTGCACTCAGACCCTTCTTTCGGGGCCTGTATCTCAGCCGACTCAGGGTGCTATAACAAAGTACCACCAACTGGTTGGCTTTATACACAACAGAGATTCATTTCTTACCATTCTAGAAGCCAGCACACTGAAAGCAAGGTGCCAGCCAGCATTCCCAGGTTCTGGTGAGGGCCCTCTTCTTCGCTTGCAGATGTCCCCCTATCACTGTGTGCCCACCTGGGCTTTTCCTGATGTCAGCTCTTTGAATTTTTGTTAATCTTTTTTTAATGTTTATTTATTTTTGAGAGAGAGAGAGAGAGAGAGAGAGAGAGAGAGAGAGAGCAGGGGAGGAGCAGAGAGAGAGGGAAACACAGAATCCAAAACAGGCTCCAGGCTCTGAACTGTCAGCACAGAGCCCCACACAGGGCTTGAACTCACAGACCGTGAGATCATGACCTAAGCCGAAGTCGGATGCTCAACTGACCGAGCCACCCAGGTGCCCCTGGCTCTTTGGTGTCACTTCTTATAAGGGCACTAATCCTGTCCTGGGGCCCCATCCTCATGACCACATCTAAATCTAGTTATTTCCCAAAGGCCCCACCTCCAAACCCCATCCCACTGGGGGTTGGGGCTTCAATATGTGACGTTTGGAGGGACACAACATTCCATGTCTTTCTGCTTCTGGGGAAACTGATGCAGTGTGGTAGTATAGGTGAGACACCTGGTACAGCCTGGAGCCTGGTGAGTGCTGAGTAGTGTTAGACCTGCCTCAGCACAATGGGAGGCCCCGTTACTCATACTGAAGGCCTCCCCCTCCCTATGGTGTTCCTCTGCTTTTCTACCAGGCCTGGCCTGTTTCCTCCCCCCACCACTTCGAGGCTGTTTAGAACAATGATAATAATAAGAGCTCACACTGTGAAGTTTTTGTGCATTATCTCATTGGTCCCAACAGCAGCCTCCTGAGATAGTGTCTTAGGGTGGGCTGTCTACGAGGAGAGCCCAAGTGGTGATTTTCGTGCGATTGCTGTATTAGTGGTGAGCTCTCAGGAGGAGAGGAGGGGGAACAGGGGCATGGGGGTAGGAGCTGAGCAAAGGTGTGGGATTAGCTGGAGTCTGGTCCAGCTTGATCCCACGGGGGGCTCTGCAACATGAATCACTCACTCCACAAGGTTGGTCCCACTTTGAGGCAAGAGGGTTGGCCTTTTGTCCTCCTGTGCCAGGGAGTCATTGGTCTGGGGTGGGGGTGAGGTGGGATTGGGGGGCATTGCTTTCTGGACAAGATGGCCATTGTCTGGAGGAGGGCAGTTCTCTGCACCGTGCCATCGGCCCTCGTGCACGGAGCTGGGCACAGGTGTTCTTTCTGCTGGGAAGGGGGATCAGGACCCCCCCTCCAGATTGTTAGTCCTCCTATATGGAAGAACCTGAATTTTGGGAGGTTTAAATTGCTTACCTGAGGCCACACACAGCTAGTAAGTGATTTAGTCCGGGACCATCCTTGGAAGCACTGCCCTGTTCTGGGGTCAGAAAGGGTCCTTTGTACCCTGCAGGGTCTCTCTGCCCCCACCTCTGCTTTCTCTTATAGTTTTGCCATCCTGGGCTCTAGGAAGACCAGCAGCAAAAACATCCATGTAATGGAGGGGAAATGGCGAGATCAACAAGCCTCTTTATTTGTCTTCTTGTTCTTGTGAAGATTAAAGGGAGTGTGAAGTGTCCACTGCACAGGTCGTGGTGTGTCCTGTCTGTGATGGTGAACATGTGAAAGCATTCATCCCTGGGGTCACCTGGTCCTGGAGGCAAGATCTCAAGGAGCCCAAGTTTTAATGAGAATGCTTTCCTTCCCCCAACAGAATCTTCTGGAAATTCAGACCTATGTTACCATCCTGCAGCAGATTGTCCAGACCACCCCTCAAGCATCTGCCATTACAAGTGGGATGAGGGAGGTAAGAATCAGAGCCCAGGCTGCAGGGAGAGCATACCTGGGGAGGGCGCCTACACCCCCAACGGCCTAGTTTAGCAGAGACTCAGGTAAGGCTTCAGGTCAGGTCCGACTGGGCGCCGAGCCGCGTTCGCTGGTCACGCTCTCGCTCTGCGTTCGCCTTTGAGGTTTACCCTTCCCTGCTTTCACTCAGACTGGGAACAATTTAGGCATCTGAGGACACAGACTGTGTCCCTGACCATTGTCTTAGGCATTTCCTCTTGAGAATTTCAGGCTGTTCTTCCTTGCGTAGTTGGTAAGAAACTGCCAGACTGTTTCCCAAGGCGGTTTGCATGGTTGCAGCCCATCAACGATGAGTGTGTGAGCGTTTCTGTTGTTTTGCGTCCTTGCCAGCACTGGGGATGTCAGGTTTTTATTCTGTTTGTGCTTTTTGCTCATCTAACAGGTGTGTTGTGTATCTCACTGTGGTTTTAACTGCGTCCCCCAGTGACTAATGACGTTGAGCCTCTTTTCGTGGGCTTATTTGCCATCCATGTATCTTTTTTGTGGTATCTGATCCAGTCTTTTGCCCATTTAAAAGAAGTGTTTTCTTTTCTTATTCTCCTTATCAATTTGACCGTAAATTTTGAATACAGAGAGACCCAGACAGTACGTGGCTGTATTTTCAAGGTTGGCCTCTGTTAATGATTATGTAAGTTTGTGGAATGAAAACTGTGGAAAAAAAATAGAGATTACAGAGGCTGATTTTTTTTAATGTGAATTTGGATGTAAAAACCTTTTTAAAATTTTTTTTAATTTATTTTATTTAAAAAAATTTAATATTTTCTTATTTTTGAGAGAGAGAGACAGAGCATGACCGGGGGAGGGGCAGAGAGAGAGGGAGACACAGAATCCCAAGCAGGCTCCAGGCTCTGAGCTGTCAGCACAGAGCCCGATGCGGGGCTCGAACCCACGAACCGTGAGATCATGACCTGGACTGAAGTTGCATGCTTAACTGACTGAGCCACCCAGCGCCCCACTTTTTAAAAAAAGTTTTTAAATATTTAGTTTTGAAAGAGCGAGAAAGAGGGAGAAAGAGAGAGAGAGAGTGGGGGAGGGAGACACAGAAAACGAAGCAGGCTCCAGGCCCTGACCTGTCAGCACAGAGCCTAACATGGGGCTCAAACTCATAAGCTGTGAAATCACGACCTGAGCCAGAGTCCGATGCTTAAAACCGACTGAGCCACCCAGGTGCCCCCTCATTTCTGATAGAATGTTCCACATTCCTTCACTGAGCTCTCTAGCTGCTGACGTCGTGTTTTCCTAATGTGGTTTAGTGGATTTTTTGATGCATAACACGAGACATGTAAAAATAAACTGACAATAATGCAGATTAAAACAAAAATGTCATGGTGCCCCTTCTCCAGAGGTTGTGGTAGGTTGTTACAAGGTTTGGGGGACTGGTCAACTGGTGAGATTCTGTTATTCTGCAAGGACGACTTAGGACAGTGGTGCTCATACCCACTGACATTTGGAATCACCTGGAAGTCTGTCCAGACCACACCCCAAGTCAATTAATCAGCTGCCTGGCAGGTGGAGCCCTGCCTCAGTCATTTAGAAACTCCCAGGGCAGCGTGTAGACAAGCTCCAAACTTGTGGGCCAGGGGAGCTGGCTGCTTGGGTCTTTTTGTTTTAATTTAATATTTCTTTATAACAAAGCCAAAGAAATCCCAAAGCTTCCTTTGGAAGACACTTTATTTTTTTAAAATGTTTATTTTTGAGAGAGAGGGAGGGCACAGGAGGGTGGGAGTGGTGGGAGG